TTTAGTGGACAGCCAACAATATTGATAGCACGCAAGATGAATCAATCTAAAAGTGATTGCAGCAATTTCCAGATCAATTAGAAAGACGTAGAATTGATGATATTGAATTATCTTGATGAAGATTCACTAACAAACCTCTGTTAATGGTATTGTAGGCTGCGAGTTCAGGACGATTGACGTTGTTGCTTGTTATTGCTGTGCTGCTTGCTGTTGTTCCTATGATGTTGTTGATGTTGCTCTTAGGGGAGTCGGAGAACGACAACGGAGGGTCAACGAGGAGGAAATCGATAGGATCGGGCTGTCGTCGACTGGACGGAGACAGGAGGCAAGGCGGTCATCGCGACGATGTTGAAGGACCAACGAGAGGGGCTAGCTATCGTCGAGGACGTCGCGAAGGACTGCTCGACGAGGAGAAGGCGGTGGCGGCTGCTGGAGCGACGGAGGCGAACAGAGAAGGGGAACGCGACGCTAGCGAGAGATGACAGGTACCGCACTATTGAATATGAGACACAGCAGGGGTGAGGCGCGAGGTGGAGTAGGGAGAAGCTGGGTTGACGGTGATTGACGTGGAGGAGAGGGGTTGTGGAGGTGGCTCTAGAGGGAGAGAGTGATGGGATCGGGGTGGGTGGTCACACGCGAGCGGAGGAAGAGAGGGATGGGGTCAGGGCTTGATGGGTTCACGTGAGAGGAGGGAGAGAGAGAGGATGATGCTAAGGAAAGTGGGGAAAGAAGGCGGCTAGGGGGGGAATTAGGGTTTCTCTCCCTTTTCTTCTTTTGTAATTTGTAATGAAAGGCTGTGATGACTTCTAAAATTCGAATTTTTTTTAATCTTGCCTTTTTTTTAATCTGGCTCTTTTTTTTATCTTTTTTTTGGATCTAGCTCCTTTCTCACTTTCTTTTACAAACTAAAAAAAAATAGATAAGTGAGAGGAAGAAAGAGATGTAAGAACCTGAGGTTGAGAAGAATTCGGTTGATCTACTCTTGCTCTGATACCAAAATGATGCGGGACAATGGGAATTTTAGGGATTTATGGTGGGGATTCGGGAGATTTGGGGAAGAACAAGGATTTGGGGAAAGCTAGGGTTTGAAAAGATAACAAATTAACAATTTTAACACGATATGACCACGAATCGCAATCCGGGCCTTGGCTTCACCATCATTGACTCAATCTTAAAGATCAAATCAATTGCCCAAAGTTTCACAAAGGAAACCAAATTTTCTTCAAATAATCATCACTTTATTTTATAGAATTGGCCTCTTTAAATAGGTCTTCAACAACTACAAGTTCACTCCCATATCCGATGTGGGACTAAAACTATTGAGCAAATACAATAAAGAGGAAATAAAAAGTAATACTAGCTAGACTCCAAGCCTTCTCAAGATCAAAGCCACATATGAGCTGAGGCAATACGACAGCGGCGACGAAAATATGTGTGAAGTGGCGGCGAAAATATCTTTCTTCTCTTAGCGCTGCTTATTTTTACCAACCCTTTCAAAAGTTCATGGTTTGCCTCGACAAGTGGGACCCATTTTAATATAAATAGGCGCCCGTTCTACATTAATGGTTTCGATGCTTATCGGCTGATATGTACAAGCCTGGTGATCTGTTAAAAAAAGTATTAGGTCTCCAATGCGTTTCAACAAGAAAATAAAAAAGGATATGGTTAATGTTGTGAGGGCTTGTACTTTTAACGATGGTGGCTATAAAGCTCTAGATTTTCAATGTATTTCAGTGAGGATATGTTCAAGGTGCATAACATGACATACAATAGTGATCAAAATGAAATATGAATAATAATTTTTTGGTTTGCATTTTGATGACAGATACTGGGTTTGTGATTTTTGATGCTAGGAATAAGGGGAGAGGGAAGGAGGGAAGGAGGGAAAGGGAGATAAATGGATGGATTTGTGGTTTCTGATGCTAGGAGTGAGGGGAGATGGAAGGAGGGAAAGAAAGAGAAATTGGTGGGACTATTTTTGTAATCAACCATCTATAGATAGTCTTAACCTAACCAAGATTGAGGGTTTTAAATGATAAAACTAACAGAGAGATTTATATATACCAATAAGCTAATGCAATTCGAGGGACTAACATCAAAACATGAACATTTGAGGGACTAATATCACAATAGCTATGATTTAAGGGACAAATATCTAAAAACCCTGAACTAATGACATAGGGATCTCCAAACGTAAAACGTCACCAAAATCGTGAAGCAAGTGAGATCATTATTCATATTCGAAACAGTCACCTCGTCGAAGTGGTGAGGGCTTCTCTGGGGCAATTCGCAGCCACCAAGCTCTCGATCGCCGTGGGTTGCAACAAATGAGATAAGGCTTGAATCGAGTAACGTCATTGTTGGGACTTCCATGAAATTTTCGGTGCTAGTGAAGTTATTCAATAGAAATAATGGAATCCAATGGGTTGAGGTGTTCTGTTTGGAGCCCTTTTTTTTGGTGGCGGTGTGTTGCGGGGAATTGGAGGGATTCTGGGATAATTTCTTCATGGCCTTCGATAATTTATCAACTAGGTTCTCATTGGAGAAGTAGGATCTATGGTTTGTGGAGGGAGATGGTGATGAGGAGGGATTGGGGTTTATTATTATTTTTTTCTTTTCGAGGGGACGTTAGAATATAAGGATAGCATGTTGTTTAGCTGTTCGATGAAATGCACCAACAAGAATGTGCAGTTGACAGCAGCTTTTGATGATTTGCTGGCTAATTTATGCAAAGAAAGGGGTACAAACAGTATACGGACTTGACCCGGATGCTGAAAGCTTATACAAATTTTATACATGCATAACTCGAGGATTGACCCTAAACGTGTTTGCAAATAACTGTCCCCTCATCAATATTGTTATGTGAGAAAGAAAAGAAAGCAAAGGATGCATATGAGTTGCACGATGAACTGGTTGAGTGAGGCTTAGAAGCAGATGTATAGAGTTACGATAGGATGGATCCTCGCTCTTCATTGTAAACTCCATAAGACAAATAAAGTGCTTAACCTACTATGAAGGCTTCCTGATGAACATATGTATAATATGTTGATCAAGATGCTAGCTGGGTTGGGAGGATTGATCGTGCAGTGGTGTTATGTGGTGATAGTAAACAGGCATTCTTTGTAAATTCATTTCTCTTCTCTGATCAGGCTGTCCTTTAATAATAACTCCTGTTTGGTGCGACAATTACACAGAGCAGACACATGCATGCTTACTCTGCTCACTAGGATACATAAAATAGGGATACAAAACTAATTTCATGAAGATACTTTTCACCTCATAAATTGATGAAAACTTCTCCTATTTGAGAGTTACGATTCCATGATCAAAACAGTAAAAATACTTAGTAGAATACTCAAACAATTTCTTGTAGATGCATTTCACCTGATTTCCTACAGGTAGCGTCTGATACCTTCAAGTTTATTAGCACAATACTGTTTTCTTATTGACCCCTCTTGATCAACAATTTGCCAAAGAAAAAGACTCAATGTCAGGTTTTAGTTTAAGTAGAGCCAAGACAAGACAAAGACATATAACAGAAAAATTAGTTTTTAGTACTGAGAGATTCGGTGCCTGAGAACAAATATGAATGAAATGAATGCGCAAAACCATGCAGCCATATCTACTCTAATTGCTAGAAAAAGAAATTTGCACTCCTTGGGATACATAATGGAGCACCATTTGGTGTCTATAACGAAATAGAGTGTCGATGCAAGTGATTGCATTGCTAATGATGAATGTACAAACGCAACAATTTATCGTTCCATTACGACAAGTAGTTAGCAATAATAGAGCAAAAAAGAACAATTTTATTAGTTTATTAATGCATATGATTAAATATCTTATATATATATAGTCAAGATTAGACACAACTAGAAAATAGTCGAACCAACTCTTCGACAAGAATAATTAAATTATTTTGATGCAACCCTTGACAATAAAATATATATATCTGGATCTTTATTGCATGAATTAGAAAAAGGAGTAAGTTGACTTACGAGGTCTCCCACAGCAAGAAAGACCAGGTAGACACGATGTAATTGTGCGTTTTTTATCATCAGAACCATGTAAAAACAGAATATGGTTATGCTCCAAATAGCTCCAATAACGTTGCCAAAATCATAAACCTTTATAGAGAAAACAAATTAGTCAACTTAGTTACATATTCATAAGCCTTTATTATTCAATTGATACAAAACAATTGCAAAGAAGTATCTACAGAAGCCAACAAAACTTCAATGGAAATTATATATAAATTTATATTCTAGATTATATATAGTTATCTATTAGCTTAGAGCTTGATAATGATTAATAGTGAGAACTACATTTGCATACAAATTCTGATTCACATAGAATGCATTCTTTTATTGACCGAGCTCAAATGCACAGACTAATCGATTGTGACTCTCTTTAATTTATTTGCTACAAGCCAATTTGTTATGTTAGCATTTTTATCCTTATCATTAAAGGGGATATAGCCAGAGAACTCCATTTGGAGTTTTCGTCTTGTTTTGATTTTTTTCCCTGCCAGAGGATTGCATATTGTTTCTTTGCCTGACATCTTCCAAGACTTAGTAGAATCAAAAAGGATATCAATGTCTAATGATCATTATCAAAGAATATGAGAAATCATTTTTCCTACTGCTTGTTGGAGTTTGCTAATACTCTCTTCTATGATCACTTACGAATATGGTGCTCCTCAAACAAGCATATGCTTCCAAACTCAAAAATCTTACTTATAGTAGGTGAATTTTGTATAGGACAGATGTGATTGCTATGGTCCTCAAAAATCCAAACTCAAATATATTTGCCCAAACGGTTTGAACCGTTTGGGCATATATTTGCCCAAACGGTTTGGACCGTTTGGGCTGTTTATTTTTAACTTTTTTTAAAATTTTTGATTACTTTTTTTATCTACCTGTTTATTATATATACACATCTCACACAATAATTACTCATAATGAAATCAAAATGTACAAACACAAAAAAAAGTCTCAAAAGATGCTAAGTATCCAATGATTACTCAATAATTACTCAATATTCAATATTAGAGACAAAACATATACATACGCAATGATTACTTAATATATCACAATGAAAAGCATCTAATATTATATACGTGTCTCTAACATCAAAAATGTCTCAAATGTCCAAAATAAAATTAGAAGTAGCCTAATCAATCCAGTCAAGGAACAGAAGAAATTCCTCGAAGAATGTCCTCCTGTGACAAACCGGAACGCCTCAAGTCTGCAAATATCCTAACAAGATTCTCTTGTGATAAACCTTGAGCACTGGAAGTAGAAGTGTTAATAGCTGAAGCAGGACGAGCAGAATGTCGTATATCGGCAGCGTGCTGAGGAATTAGACCAGGCTGAGTAAATGATGGTGGATCATTAGGAGTGGGAGCAGGACAAGTACCCGAAGAATTAACCTATAAAGTAATAGCAATGTATGAGTATATACGCGACTAAGTATTAAATCTATGTGTGTGTTTATGTGTATAAGTATTAGATGTATGTATATTTGTGTATGCTAGTCTACATGTGTATGCGAGTGTGTATATTATTTGCATATGTACCATATTGTTATTAATCCAATGCATCTGAGACCTAAGCTCCTCCTTGAGACTGTCCATCTCAGCTACCCAAGCTCTAAGATCAGCAACCTCGCGACGTAGCTCCTGATTAGAAGTGCTGATTTCTGGTATAGAGGAGGCCCTCAAATAAGACCGAGTGACACCAATGCCCAAACCTCTTTCATAACCACCGTGATGCCCTCCGTGCAAGGAATCTAACATCTGGGTGAAGGAAAGTGCATCGTCCTTTGGGGTTGAACCGACCCCTGATGAGGTTGCCTTCTCGATGACCCGCTCCTACACGATACAAAGTATTCAAATATAAGTCAACAAGACATGAAAGCATATATAAGACAATGATTGTTCTCAACAGACATGATAGCATATATAAGACAAATTAAAAGTAATAGTAATACATTATAAGAAGTTGAAAAATTAATCATTATATAAATCATACACAATGATTGTTCTCAACAGACATGATAGCATATATAAGACAAATTAAAAGTAATAATAATACATTATAAGCAGTTGAAAAATTAATCAACAACTACAGAAAAAGAGGAATGCATTAAGTTAGTTCATGAAGGCAAGGTTAGTGAATGAGGAAGAATCAATCGCCTCGAGCGCACCCGGTGATTACACTGCATCCCCTAGTGTAAGGGTTCGCCTTTGGAAGAGCATGGCAGTTGTAGTAAGGCTTCCCAAGCCTATTAGAGGGCACATTGTCCCTCCTTAGAGCTTCATAGCTTATGTACCTCTTCTTTCCACCGCCAGGTCCGCCACCAACAGCCGTCGCCGCCCAAAGAATTTTCTTGCTGCTCATCTCTAAGCATTCTCCAACATTTTCTCCGCTGCAGACATCAGCAGAAACCTGCAGCTCAGCATCAAACTGAAAGTTGGAGCTGCAGCTGCTGAGATCAATACTGAAGGTGAAGAAAAAGAGGAGAATGGCAATAGAGAACCTCATGATCTTCCTCTCCCCCTTATCTATTCTTGGGTTTAAGTTTTTTGAAGGGAAAACTGCTTTAGATCTAAAACATACACCCATTGAACGCATGATCAATGAAGGGAAAATAACATGCCTGCACTAAATAGTATCAGATACACATTATCGAAATTTTGGTATTACGCAAAACACATTAAGATGGAGATTCAAATCGTATCAGATACAATTTTAAAATGGATTCAGAAAAGGTACCACGACTGCACTAAATAGTTCGGATTTTAATAGTTAAATTGATACTAGGCCTGCAAACACAAAGTTCTCAAGCCCTTCTTCAGAGGAAGAATGATTGCTATTGAGAGTCAATAGTTAATGAGCTCTGTGCTGGTCAATACTCTGTACCAGCCACCCTGCGTGTGTAATCGTGCATCTTATTCAGTCCAAGCAACTACACCCATATTTGAAGGATTATTTGCATTTTTTTTACCCTGAAGTTGTGCAACATTTTTTTAAGAAACTTTCATACACCAAAATTTCAGTGTCGCTTCACTTTAATACCTTTCGCTTCACTCTTACTTTTTTTTTTTAAATGTATTCATGTACTTAAACACGCGACTCATTTACGACAACCATAACCTCATGAAGAAAAATAAATTCTCTACGCCTCATTTCTTTCTTCTCATTTTATTTAGTCCAAACCAATTCTTATCAAAGCCCAAGTAGAATGAGGTGAAGAAATTGAGGTAGATGGGATACATTTCTCCAAAATGTATCACGTGTTAAGCACGTGATACATTTTAAGCCTAGCAACAAGTGAAGCAATACTGAGGATATTAAAGTTAATGACAGTGACACTTTCTTTCAGCTGGTATCAAAGTGTCAAGGGGGAAAAAGAGATGTCAAAGCTAAAAAGCGTTGTGCCAATAGTCTCATCAGCAGTTTATACAGAAAACAATACAATAGGATGCATAAATACTCAAGGTTTAAGGTACTCCTGCTATCACTGCTATCAGAATCCTGCTATCACTGCCAGGAAAATAACATGCCTAAATGTTTAAAAGTTTAGGTTGGTAAGTTGTGCCAATAATTTTTGAATGACAAGATACAGTATACTAATGCTTTATATATAACAAAATAGAACACTTACGCAATACTCATTAGTGCTATTGTCCGGGTATGTATACTCTCTGGTGATCTTATCTACTGATGACGAGTGGGTACCCAAATATAGTTTCAACATTGTAGGTGTGTCACCATCCTCAATGATTTTGACATTTCTACAATTCACCAAAAATATGTTGTATAATCGATCAAAACATTAAGAATTATATCATTTGAATTTTAATTAGCTGTAAGAATCAAATTTACCAATTGTTCCATAGCCCGGCACATATTCCTCGAGCCACCTGTATAGGTTGCTCTACCATGCAAATTTGACGCCCGATTCTGCGCATTACGTCTTGCCTCCTCCTGCATGTTATTATAATATTTAGATTTGTAATCAAACAAAGGCAAAATTAATTACCAACTAAACAATTGATTTAGTTTAAACTATAGACCTTCTTGTCCTCTGCATCATAATATGCACACAAATTAGTCCACGAGTCTCTATCAATCCAAGAAAACGCCGGAGTAAGCCAGAGAGCCTCCCTCTCTGCTTCGGGAGTATTTTTCCACACCTCAAAACACTCATGTTTTACCTGACACCTATTATAGCGAACCCTCTCCTGTAGCTGAGACTTCATTCCTCGATAAATAATATGATGGGAGAGAGGCTGATTAGGATCCACAGGGAGAAACTCATAATCCTTCTGCAAATTCAATAAACAAATCACATGGTTAAAATATTAAGTACCAAATGATAACAAATTAATCAGATAAATCAAAATACAAATATAATTATACCTGGCATCTTATAAAGAACTCGTCAAATGACCTATTATGTTCATCACCCCATTCTAAATGGAGAGGATATTTGCAGTACACACGACTCTCCGTCCCCACATACTTTCCCCATTTCTCAGCATAATCACCAATGGGGCGACCCCTATTATTGAGGAACAGAGGCCATACCTTCTCACCTTTTTCAGCATCGGGCTTAAGCTTATGGGAAGTATTGGGGCCTCGAGTGGGAACAGAGGATCGCGATTGCACTGTATGTGATGAGACAAATAAGATATTAGATCATATAAAGAATAATAAATAATATAAATTCAAAGTGGATATATATACAAATTGCTACCTCCATCGCCTTGTCGCTCCGCATGTTTCCGAGAACGACTAGGACGAAGATTAAAAGAGTGTTTTGGAACACATGTCGGTGCAGATGTAGATGCAGCTAAACAATAAAAATGATTCATGTAAGTACAAATATCCAGTTCAGAATGCACATTAATCACCAAAAGAACAGCTTGCACATGGAGGACAATCTGAACTAATTCACTGTTATTTGTACTTTATTAAAAGAACTCTTAATTAAAATTTAACATGTAGATAAATCTATTTGAGCAACAATTCCTTTACTTCTAATCTGAAATTTTTTGAAGCTGCCGAAAATGCTGAACTGCTGGTACATTTACGGATTGAAGTGGGTAACTTCTGAAACCTGAAGGGGCTATACATTTATAGCTAGAAGGCTCTGCCTGCAAGTCTCAAACTAGCTGGAAACGAAGTCTTTGTTAATTGGTTAAACAAATTAATCCCAAAGATAATGCAACTTGCTGCATTCCTCAACACGGAAAAATTGCATAAAGAATGACTTACGACTTCTGAAGGTCTTTACCATTATTAGATGAAAGTTCCCAGAACCCTACCGTTTTTCTTTCTTTAATTTCTTTTTAATTTTATTTTATTTGCGTTTTTGGAAAAACGACTAGTACTCCTGAACTACTAATAATAATATATAATAACAACCCTCAGGTTCTGTGGTTTTTTCTTTAATGGATCACAATAAGAACTGAGATTTAATTGCCATACAATTTCACAAGTATCCTCTAATATATACGTCACGTTATAGGAATTTTGTAAAGTAGCTAGGGAGAAAATTGTTTTGGTATCCATCATGTTACACAAAATTTCAAGCAATGCCTACTTACCATACACACCGGTCACAGCTCGTAGACCGAATGTTAAACAAATGATTCGAATGTACAATACAAAAGCGAAAGATATAAAGAAAGATAGAAGCATCTGAATTACATCCAAGATTGAGTGTAGAAGAGATACTAACCTGATGATTGTCCAGAAGGTATGGAATGCGAAAGGGGGTCGTCTGTAAATCATTTAGGTCTGTAGGCGTTTGTCGATTTGCATCTACATCTGTGTAAGAGATGAACTGCAAGTAAAATATCTTTCCTCAAAGGACATAATCGATCAGGGAAATGTTTCCAAGGTTAGCTTCTTATTTCATCATTTATTAAAGGGAAAAAATCGATTAAGACTTTCCTCGTCAATAAAATTAACATGGATGACTAGACTAGCAAAAGACTAAAAACGGACAGTATGAGTTGAGAACTAGCGATAAATCAACATGTAACTAGGGGCTGGTTACAGATGTTATTTTACCCGATGCATGAGATGCGAATCCAATCGAACACGAAATAAATTAAAACGGGTCACATAGTTCAATTAATTAGAATCAGTGTCCCAGATGTAGCTGACCATACAGCATAAAATAGTTTGCCTCCATGGCTAAATCCAAACCTGTAAATAGAAACCAACTACAACGCATACAAATTTGACATAAAGGTGCTAGATTGCCAAATTTGCAAAGGAGTAGATATAGGCTCTGGTTGGTAGTAGTTCGGTAGAAACCATGGGAATTAATGTAGAACTCCAGGCACTTGAGCCAACACACAAGTCGCAGGAAAGAACAACACGCAGCAACACAACAGAACACAAAATAAAAAGAAATATGTAAGGGATAATGAAAATACAAAATAAAAAGAAATATGTAAGGGATAATGATTTGATGTCATGTTAAAACAGAATCAAAATAAAAGTAAATAGTTACCTCTGACTGGAGTAAACTCTCCAATGCTAGGTACAGATGTAGCAACATGAGTAGATTCAAGATCTCTCCTACGCTCTCTCACTTGACGATGTAGGTCCCCGCGCTGTATAATTCTACGTGATCTGCTAAGATCTCTCCTACGCTCTCTCACTTGACGATGTAGGTCCCCGCGCTGTATAATTCTACGTGATCTGCTCCGTGATGGGTTTCCAGACATCTTCGTCAAGCCCTAGAAAAATTTTACAATTCATATAAGATATAAGCGAATAGACATATTTATAAATTTGAAGATATAAATTTTAAACAACATAAATTTTTATAATGGTTACCTTTTTTGCTTTACAGAAGTGTTAGGTTCTACAGAACAAGGAAATAGATAGAACTATGAGATGACAAGCATAGAATCACACAATGAATCCAAACTAATTAATACTTAAACTCTACTGTTACAATTTGAAACTATTATAACGCAACCAAAGAGAATAAGGGATAAAATTAAAGCAATTCATAACTCTTTTGACAATCACACATCCAAAGCACATCATATAGTAATTCATTCCTCAATTCAAAATAAATTTTTATAATGGTTACCTTTTTCGCTTTACAGAAGTGTTAGGTTCTACAGATTCCCTGTAAGTTGTAGGAATATCTACAAGTATTTCACTATTCAAATCATTCCTAACCCACGAAACTTTATCAAACTCAGGAGATTTATCTTGACATACAACTCCTCCCTGCTCAAACTCTTCGTCATCATTGATCTCTACAACCTCTGAATCTACGAATTGTGGGACGTCGTAAGTATCTCTGGGCCTCCATCGACATACAACACTCCACCCCGAATGGCTCAAGCACTTCGAGTAGTATACTTGAAATGCTTGTTCTGGAAATATAAATGGATCGTCCTCAAAGGAAAACCGTGTCGTGTTTACACTCGTCAATCCATATTCATCTATCCAAGACCCGTAATTGTCTCTCTACTTACCCGTTCCAGTCTTCATATCATACCAAACACACTGGAAGACATAAATGCATCCTGCTCGTCCGGGATAGTTGATACCAAGTATGTTATCAAGGTATCCATAGTATGTCTCACCATTAGTGCCTAGGGTTGCAATTCCGCTATTTTGGGTGGTTCGAGATTCTTCTATAGACTTGATTTCAAACTTGTAACCGCCAACACCGAATCCTTTATAGTATTTAACTTCAGCATCTGGAAACGTAGCCAAATATCCAAGTTCCTTATCTAATATTGGTTCTATACCCGGTAATCGGCTCTGACAAAAAGGTTAATATGGAAATTACATAAAGATGTTAGATTAAATAATAGAATGAGTCAAAAATGAGATAATAGAAAACTTACATAATGTTTAAACCAATTGCAAAAATTGTCCTGATGATGTGTTTCAACACGTGCCTCATTCTAATTACTATGCATTGCACGTATTTCATCTTTGTGTAATCTAATGTCAAAATGAGTAGTTAATGTGAGAAGTATATTATGTCATATAAACATATATAATTATGCGAAATAGACATACTCTCTAATTTCTCCAAGGCATTCGAGATTGAGAAGGATAAAGTGATGAATCTTGTTGATAAACGCGGACGTCATTCTATTGTAATCCGGCTTTTTAGATGGTCCGTCATGGATCATAACAGGTCTGTTGAGTTTTGTCTCAATGTCTTCATCCAGATAACGAGAACAAAAAGTGGTTACCTCCTCTAGCAGATAACCTTCCATAATAGAACCCTCTGGTCGATTTCTATTACGAATATAATTCTTCAGAGTGAGAAGGTACCTACAAAAGCTTACACTAAATCACCGCATCCAAGCTATAAAATAAAAATATATTGATTACGTTAACTGAAAAACTAAAGGTACCTTTCAATGGGGTACATCCATCGATATTGTACCGGTCCGGCAAGCCTAGCCTCGGTTGCAAGATGAACAGTCAGGTGTATAATGATATCAAAGAATGAAGGTGGAAAAATTCGCTCAAGCTTGCACAAAATTAAGGGAATTTCAGCCTCTAGCTTCTTCAACTTATCATCCTCAATGTTTTTAGCGCATAATTCCTGGAAGAATCTGTAAAAATCGTTGATCACTAAACCGACTGATTTAGGGAGAGAAGTCCTAAGAGAGAGAGGAAGAAGATGCTCCATAACAATATGGTGATCATGACTCTTCAACCCTTTGATCTTGCCTTTACTAATCTTTATCTTCTTACTAAATGATCCTGAAAACCCCGTACGAACCTTCAACTCATGTAACACCTGGAGAAACTTTTTCTTCTCATCTGGTGACATGTGATACACGGCATTAGGGAGTACAAATTGGTCAGGATTTCCTGCCTTCGGTATAGGATGTAACTCTTTTCTAATATTCCATGCCTGGAGATCCCTTCGAGCTTTGAGGTTATCTTTTGATTTTCCATCTTTACAGAGAAGTTAAGTATGTGCTCAGATACTCCCTTCTTAATGTGCATGACGTCTAGATTGTGCCGCACTTTATTTGTCTTCCAGTATGGTAGTTCAAAGAAGATACTTTTCTTGTTCCATCCCTGTGGTGTTTCTTGCCTTCCCTTAACTTTTCTGAAAGTCACATTGTTTTTACCATTCCACTGAGCAAGTATATCCTCTCCGGATAATGGGTCTGGACGTGGACGATTCTCTTTAGTACCATCAAAGTGGATGATGTCATCTCTGTACGGATGATTTTCATCCAACATACGCCGATGGCTGCAATAACAAGTCTTATTGCTAAAGGGTAGTCTTCTCGATGTTGTCTGGAGATGACAGTAAGGACATGCATTGCTAAAGGGTAGTCTTCTCGATGTTGTCTGGAGATGACAGTAAGGACATGCAGTGTAACCATGTACAGACCAACCAGATAGCATTCCATACGCAGGAAAATCATTGATTGTCCACATTAAGGCTGCACGCATGGTGAAGTTTGTCCCCGTGTCCGCATCGTATGTCTCCACACCATCGATGAATAAAAACTTTAACTCTTCGATAAGAGGTCGAAGATAGACGTCAATATTGTTTCCCGGTGACTTTGGACCATCAATAAGAAGAGGCATCATGAAATATGATTGGTCCATAGTTAACCACGGTGAGAGGTTATAAACCATCATCACAACTGGCCATGTGCTGTGGGGATTGTCCTTAAAGCTGAAGGGGCAAAAGTCATCACTAGCCAATCCCAGCCTGATATTGCGAGGTTCCTGACTAAATGTTGAGTGTCTACTGTCAAAATCCTTCCATGTAGGCGTATCTCTAGGATGACTCATTCGTCCATTTTCACTTGGACGTGCACGGTGATGCCAAGTCATCGCCACTGCTGTCTTCTTACACTTGAATAGCCTCTGCAGCCTCTGTGTAATGGGAAAGTATCGTACTATCTTGATAGGTATATCCTTCTTCTGACCATGTACTTTCTTATATCTAGCCTCTCCGTAAGTAGGACACTCCGTCTTATCTGAATTTTCTTTCCAATAAAGTATACAATCATTGGGACATGCATGTATCATCTCACACTTCAGACCCAGATTAGACATTATCTTTTAAGCTTCGTACCAGCTCTCAGGCACATGGTTCCCCAGAGGCATAGAATCTTTAAGAAACTTGAGGAGCATCGTAAATGACTTGTTGCTCCATTTATTTAGACATTTAATCTAAAATAGATGGACAAACCATGACAACGTGGAGTGTTTTGCATTCTCATAAATGGGCCTCCTAGCATCATTCATGTATTTATCATAATTATCTTCATGATGTCCTCCTTTGAAAGGAGGATCTTCAGCACGGTTAGTGTTACCAAGAGCTACCTCAACCATTTCCTCCATTTCCTCATCGAGAAACAAGTTATCTTCTTCTTGTTCTTCTTCATCTGCATTAATGAGACCTTCAATTTCTCCATGATATACCCAAGTTTTGTAATCGCTAACAAAACCATTCTTCACAATGTGAAGTTCTACTTCTTCCTCCAGTTGATGCAACCTATTCGCGCATAATTTACATGGACAAATGAGTCTCCCATGCCGAACCATATCGTGTCTACGAACAAAGTCCATGAACGCACTAACTCCATTAACAAAAATATAACGCATGCGTTCTGCACGACCCACATACATCCAATCCTTATCACTGATGTAGTTACGGGCCATGCTAACCTAAATAAAATGATTTATCAGTAACGACTCCTAACAACTTAACGGAACAAAACATGAGGTACATGGAGAGAAAAACAAAGCAAAAGACTAGCCTAAAAATAATTCAAGAAATAAAAACCTGATTAAATTCCCGCATATGCAATATAAAGAATCGCGTAGAACGTTTAACAATTAACATTTTAGTGCATATAAAGAAAGGTTTGAAGTTATAATAGATGTGATGTAATCGTTCTATAGTCTTACACCAAATGAAACAGCAAACGTAAAGGAATGTGTAAACACAACAAGGAGAAGCAAAGGCCAAAAAACAGGATAATTGCTTATGGAAAAAAGCAATTAGGAGTCTATATGCTTAGTTAGAACTCCATGTGTCTATCTGCGATTTAACTCTTTTCTCCTTCTCTTTAATTTCCTTTCTCTTTTTTACTTTTCATGAATTTTGCCTCTGGATCTATTTTATTAAATTTTAAGATGGGGCAAAGGGAACTATATCCACTGAATTGGCAACATCTCAGATAAAATTATAACATTCTCTTCTACATTGATTTTCTAAAATTGGATAATATAAGAAAAAGAGTAGGGAAACGACTCCTAAATTTGCAAAAGTTTTTTCTCAAAAAATATTAAACCCAATATTAAAGAACATTAATAAATTAGCAAATCGATTATTATGGTTTGAAAATCCTCCAATTTGACCTTCTTAATTATAGTCTAACAAGTTGTATATAACTGCTTTTTCTTTCTTGCAATTAAACAAAAAAAAACAAACATTAAAAGAGAGAAAAATGAGAAAGAGAAAACAGGAAAAAAGTATCTCATCAACAGAGGGATCAAGAGGAGATCCGTATCCTACTGTAAATGTCATCAGTGAATTAGAAAATGGCCTGCTAAAGAACTCGTCACATGGGTAGAATCAGGTCATCAAGATATAATTCTCCCCAAAAAAAATTTTTTTTTGTGTAAACTCCTAACTCATCTAAATTTCACTAGCACTCAACTTAAGTAAGTAACAAAATATTGAGGTAAACAAATAAATCTAAATAAAATCAAAGATCCAATGAGCAGAAACCTGAGATCTCTTGATCACTGTTGCCTACAAATAAATCTAAATAAAATCAAAGATCCAATGAGCAGAAACCTGAGATCTCTTGATCACTGTTGCCTTCAAAGATCTAAGAACAGAGGGAGCGGACGTGTCCCTTTAATAACCGCTTATTCAGGCGGAAGAGGCAAAGGCGGAGGATGGCTCGTCGGCGGCGAAGGTGGAGGATGGCTCGTCGGCGGCGAAGGTGGAGGCGCGGGCGATGATGAGGGATTTGAGGGGATGGAGAGGATGATGATGGTGAAGAGGTCTCATATGGTTCTTTCCAAACTCCAACATCTGGATATGGTTCTTTCCAAAATCCTATGTCAGGTATGATGCCTCCTCCTTATGCTTGTGGACCATGGATGCAATTTTTAAATGGTACACCAATGCCACAAATGAGATCACAAAGTTCACCCATGAGTGGAACGCCAAGATCATTATCATTTGAAATCCCCTCATCGGAAGCTAGTGGCGGGTCTAAGAGGGTAGCTCGTGAACAAGATGAGGAAGTTTCGTCACCTTCAAAAAAACTTAATCAAACTGTGAAAGTGAAGAAAGCTGGAAACATCATGTGGGATGATGAGCTTGATGATTTCCTCATTCCTTTCTTGGCCAATGAAGCTAGGAATGGTGGAAAGTGTGACAAGAGTATGCGGTCTAGGGCATTCAATAATGCGGCTAAAGCATGTACTGAAAAATTCCATCAGTTATTTACCAAGGACAATGTGGGAAACCACTATAGAACTCTTCGGAATCGTTATCTAGACATGCGAAAATGTCATGAAATCAGTGGCGCCGGTTGGGATGAAGAAACAAAAACAATAACACTTGATCCAAGTGTTTATAGCACATGGGCAAGGGTAATAATTTCTTAATTTTCTGCTTTTAGAATTGTGTATTAGTGTCTAAATCCATTGCACTTCTCTAAATATGCCGCATCAATCAAAGGCTATATAAGTTTTTTATGGTTTCGAAATCAGGTCCAAGAGAAAGTTAATGTCTTAACTAGAGGATTCGAAATCAGTATTATGTGTATCTGCTGCAGATACACAGCAGATACACACAACATGTGTATTTGCAGCAGATACACACAAGTGTATCTGCAGCAGATACACTTGTGTGTATCTGTAGCAGATACACTTTTGTGTATCTGCTGCAGATACACAGCAGATCTATGTATCTGTAGCAGATACACTCTGCTGCAGATACACAGCAGATCTGTATCTACTGCAGATACACAGAAGATCTGTGTATCTACAGCAGATACAGATCTGCTATGTATCTGCAGCAGATACACTTGTGTGTATCTGCTGTAGATACACATGTTGTGTGTATCTGCTGTGTATCTGGAGCAGATACACACAATACTGATTTCGAATCCTCTAGTTAAGACATTAACTTCCTCTTGGACCTGATTTCGAAACATTAAAAACTTATATAACCTTTGATTGATGCTGCATATTTAGAGAAGTGCAATGGATTTAGACACTAATACACAATTCTAAAAGCAGAAAATTAAGAAATTATTACCCTTGCCCATGTGCTATAAACACTTGGATCAAGTGTTATTGTTTTTGTTTCTTCATCCCAACCGGCGCCACTGATTTCATGACATTTTCGCATGTCTAGATAACGATTCTTCCCACATTTTCGCATACTCTTGTCACACTTTCCACCATTCCTAGCTTCATTGGCCAAGAAAGGAATGAGGAAATCATCAAGCTCATCATCCCACATGATGTTTCCAGCTTTCTTCACTTTCACAGTTTGATTAAGTTTTTTTGAAGGTGACGAAACTTCCTCATCTTGTTCACGAGCTACCCTCTTAGACCCGCCACTAGCTTCCGATGAGGGGATTTCAAATGATAATGATCTTGGCGTTCCACTCATGGGTGAACTTTGTGATCTCATTTGTGGCATTGGTGTACCATTTAAAAATTGCATCCATGGTCCACAAGCATAAGGAGGAGGCATCATACCTGACATAGGATTTTGGAAAGAACCATATCCAGATGTTGGAGTTTGGAAAGAACCATATGAGAATGGAATTTGGAGCATTCTTCCTGTAGGGCTATTATCATGAAGTGCTGCATTTGAATTTCTACTCTCTTGACTCTCTTGACTATCTCTATTTTGAGAATAAAATTTCGGACGAAATGAGCCATTTTGATTCTCCATCCCTGCTTGCAAAAACATTGTCAAAAGAAAAAACAATTATCATCAAGTATTACAAATTGCAAAAATATATATATCTTTTAAAACGATCAAATCCTACAAATCACAAGTTTAAAATTCTACATAAAGCAACACTACATACCACATTGCATACATGTTGAAATGTTCAAATCCTACAAATCATAACAAAGTTTAAATTCCATAACATAGCACATTACAAACATTACATATAAATCTCAAAAAGGTGTTTCATACATGACTCCTTTACGATGTCGATTACAATATTCAATCCACATTTCATATGCAATTTGATCTCGCCGTGACTTCCACTCTTCCCGCATATCAAGTTGTTCCCGTTGAGTCATTTGTTGTGTAAAATCAATAATGGATGCATCTTCATTCACGATATCTCCATCCTCCTCATTTACATGCATAAACTCATTCAAGAACTTATCGTTCGGATCAATAATAGCAATATAATTATGTAAAATAATACATGCAATTACGATGTTTACTTGACTTGGGAAAGGATGATGAGGTTTGGCAGAAAGAATCTTGAATCGATTTTTAAAGATTCCAAATGTGCATTCTATCTTACTACGAAGTGATGAATGCCGAAGATTGAATAACTCTCGACGATTGTTAGGAACTCTTCAACTATGTTCTTTCAAGTGATATCGTACACCACGATAAGGAGCAATGAATCTCGGCGTGGTTGGGTATCCAGCATCACACAAATAATATTTCACTACAATATTGATGAAGTGCATTATTATATTACATATAACCTACTAATATATTGACTAATTTATCATCTTAATTGAATTTTTGTTTATGTCTTACCTTCGTAGACTCTTAAACCATTTGGTGGGGGCAAGGATAGTGCATCCTTAAGAATTGTGAACTCATTTGCAGCTCCCTCCCAACCAGCCATCACATATGTGAATCGTTTATTTGGTGTTACTGCAGCCAAAACATTTTGTGTGATCCCTTTGCGTCCTCTAAATTTAGGAGCATCTTTAGTTGGTACTGTTGCATCTATGTGTGTTCCATCTATTAGACCAATACAATCCTGAATAAAAAAAATCTTTCAAGATCCTAATTAGTATCAATTCAATAGAATAGCTATAATTGTTTATAATTAATATACGTAACTTACCTTGAAAAATGGAAACCATTGACTAGATTCTATAATTTCTGCCGGGGTTTCATTTGGGGCTTGTTTCATGAACCTATCCCGAAGAGAAAAAATAGCTCCTAGAACTTTATTGAAATACCTGCTAATAGTCTCCCCAAAACGTATGAAGTCAATTCTGCAAGCCCTATTCTTGGACTTGTGTCCCATTATGTAGAGAAATGTAGCCAACTGTTCTTCTATAGGAACATGGATTGTGTCCTTCAATAAGCCCCCATCTCTCATCATTTGAGCTAAGTTCATAAAAGGTCCAATACGCATCCTGAGATAGTCTTGACAACTCGATGTACTACCATTTAATATCTGACGCATATGAGAATGTCTGTCTAAGTCTCTTACATACGAAGGATGACGAGGGATGTTACGTCTTTTAAGTGGACGATGTTGATATCGGCGTATGAATACCATTAGCATAACTAGTACAGTAGCAACAGCAGCTGAATTGTTCATCCTACGTACAACTTCATTTCTGTCCATCTTTTTTATATATTGTAAGAAAGTAATTAGTTTTTGAAAGTAAGAAAGTAAAAGTAATAAATTGTAGCCTAAGAAAGTTATATACATTCAAGCTTTTGAGTAAATATAACATGATTCCTGAGAAATAGTGCATGAAAAGAATAGTGCTTGAAAATTCCATACAACAAAATGTTAGAACAATATATACTTGAGATTATTTAGAGCCTCAAAACTACGATTTATCGTTTATTTAGTTTATGTTGGGTAATTTAGTACAGTGTTAGGCTTTTCACAAGATTGAATTGATGCTTCAATTCAAGACAAGGACCCATGGAATTCATGTTACACAAAGCCACTAAATCCTGCACCGATATTTCATCTTCTAATGCTAGGAACCAACAACTTGAATTAGATATCAACAAAGAAAATCTCCAACTATTCCCACCAAACTATACCTACCACTTTGCAACAACATGGCTTCATTGCCAAACTTAACCGTAGAATTAAAGATTTCTCTCTTCCTTGATCTAGATGCCAAAATTTCTTCATAAAACCAACAAACTAATATTGGTCCATTTAGGGAAATTTCAACACCGAAACATTCTTTGAACTTGCAGCATTTTTTTTGTTTCCACATGTTCAACCTTCACAAAATTCCAAACACCCTCATCAATAGAAGCCTGCTACATGGTTAGCCAAAATTACCCATAAAATTCTAGAAAATTATAGCTAACTTCAGGTTTTTGACACTGAACCATCCGAAAGCACAGCCACAAATTAGCCGATCATTAACAAAGTTCAAACTTCGAAAGCTAGAGCCCTCTTTAACAACAATCAGTGTGAAAGCTAGAACTCTCTTTTACAACAATTAAAGAAATTTGAAAGGGAACTTGAAATAATAGAGAAAGGCAAAATTTTTATACCTCGACCAAATCCTTTCCTCGAGCAGATCTACCCTCAAGCAAACGATGGAGTCGCCGGTGTTTTCGTCTCCGACTTGAAGCGAAGCAAACGACGGAGACGGAGGCGCCGATTTTTCTTCTTTTCCGACTCTTGAGGGGCAGCCAGGAGAAGAGGGGCAAGTGTCCAAAAAAATGAAAACTTGAGGCGCAGCCAGGAGCGAAGGAGAAAGGGTGAAAAAAAAATGAAAGCTGAGAGAGAGGAGGTAACCCTAGGCGCTGTTGGTTTTTTTAGTATTTTTGGTAATCTGTAGCAAAACCACATCTGGTCAAGGAGGTTTTTGATCAACTCTTGGTTGGTAATTATGGGCTCTCTTTTGTTCCTTTGTTTGAGAGAGATTGTATAGAGATTATCAAGATGTGTTAGGGATTAAGTGATTGAACGATCTCCATATTCTGTTCCTTACAATTTAGTAAAGCTATTTTCTTCCTTCGCCTGTGGGCGTAGGCTACAAGCCGAACCACGTATATCCATATGTTTTTATTTTCCCAATATTTTTCATGCTTTCATGTGATTAATATATCAGTCTATTCCTGGGCTTTGTCATATCACCTCCCTAGTTGAAATCTTGTTAAAATGGGGGAAGTACTCTATTTAATTTAACTTTTTTGGTGATGTTCTAGTTAAACTCTGCTCATCGTACCCACTGAGCTCCCCATATCCTATTAATAAATACCCTAATGTAAACCCATTTTTCACTTTATCTTCTCCAGTGATTCTCCAATGTCTTCTAATGGGAATATATTCGATGTAAATTTGGGATTATAGCTAAAAAAAGTCTTTCGAGAAGACAGTGGAGAAGATGAAGTGCAAATTAGATTTTATTAAACAGATTTGGGAAGCTTAATGGGTATGTCAGTTAAATTGGTTAATGAGCTTGGACTTGTATGAAAGGAGTATAACAAACAAATCACCAAAAAAATTAAAGTATATAAAAATTCCTCAATTTCAATCAAATTTTTACTACAGTGAGCTTATTTCAACATCCTAATTGGATTTATGGGACTTGAGATCAATTTTAAGGATTTGGTTGGGGGGGCAAATATCAAATATTAAAGATTTTAAGGGGCTTAAGCTCAATTTTAATGAGGGGTCTAATATCAAAATGTTGAAGATTTGGGGGCTAATATCATAATAACCCTTTTTTGGCTAATATCGTAATAACCCTTTTTTTGAGGAATTCTTGCAATTATTACTAGACTTGGTAGCATGATATTATACCGTTTTGACAAAAATGGAAAACTGAGGATGCAACATTTTATACTTTGAGTTCCATGAGTTGATTGTTTACTCTCAACATTAGTTTTGGTTAAAAGGAAAATGAGTCATAAGGGCCGCAGGCATGCGAGGTGGCCTGCATTTTACTATTTTTAGGGTAAAGGTAGTGGTACTTATTTAATTATTGGGAAAATTGCTTGTATAGAGCAAAAACTAAAATGTTATGCATCCAAACCCTTTAGAAAAAGTCAAGAGTCTTAAAACCAACAAGACCTAAAGATATGTTCATTTATCCTCTTCAAACAACTTTCCAACTCACATTTATTTTCTTCTTCCTTTCTCACCCATCCCTTTCCACGTATTCTCTTTCTCCACCTTTCATTCTTTTCATCTTCTCTCACCCAAAATAAATGGAACTATATTAAACCGAAAGTCTTTTTGGGTGTCCCATTGTTATCGTCAACACCATTCTCATCAACACCACTACCACCTTCTTCTCGCCACCAGCACATTGAGCTGAATATTTCTTTGGACATGGCAAAAAAAGAATCCTTAATAATTTTTTATATACTTTTCCTTATAGATATGTGTTTTTATAGGGCAAGAGTTATTGGGATCAGAGTATTTAATGGTTTGAAGAAGAAAATTGAATTTATTTCTCTTTATTTAAAATTTAGGATCCGACATGCAAGATAAGAACATGAATCTTAAGCTAGAATAAGCTCCCAAATAAGGATCTAAAATGCAAGACAACAGCACCAATCTGACACTAATTCGAAAAACACCATTTCACACTAGCAGAAAATTTGTCTATTGCAAATAGAAATATAACATAAGTAGGATTATACTTAAAAATGAACTTCATTTTAGTAGTCAAATGAAAATAAATGTGCATAGTTATGCTCGAGAACATGTACCTACATATATATTAGTAAAAGGAACGGAAAGAAATCCTTGTTCATGGGTGCATCGTCAAACACAGTCTCAAAATAACAAATTTAGTAAAAGGAACGGAAAGAAATCCTTGTTCATGGGTGCATCGTCAAACACAGTCTCAAAATAACAAATGACATGTATTAAGTTAATACTATGCTCGTCAAACACAGTCTCAAAATAACAAATGACATGTATTAAGTTAATACTATGCTCATTACGCCAGTAAAAGAAATAGAATCCATCCAGGGACTTGGTTCGCCTTTTAAGAGAACATAAAGAGATCTTTTAATTACCTTCTTTCCGGGCCCTACTTTCAGAGCGTATTAAACATAAAAGCAAGCAATAAGTCGGATGTGCTGGCGACGCGGAGGCGGCAGCAGGACTTGGAGGTGGCAACGACTCGGAGGCAACGGCGGCAGGACTCGA